TACAGACTCCCGTCTTAACGCTGTTGGTTTTGACTACAGACCACCTAGATAAAGGTGTCACTGCTTATTACTGACTACCGTATGGACGCTGTTGGTGTTGACTACAGACCTCCTCGATAAAGGTGTCACTGTTTATAACATACTAACGTATTAACGCTGTTGGTGTTGACTACAGACCTCCTCGATAAAGGTGTCATTGTTTATTACATACTACCGTATTAACGCTGTTGGTGTTGACTACAGACCACCTAGATAAAGGTGTCACTGTTTATTACATACTACCGTATTAACGCTGTTGGTGTTGATTACAGACCACCTCGATAAATGTGTCACTGCTTATTACAGACTACCATATGGACGCTGTTGGTGTTGACTACAGACCTCCTCGATAAAGGTGTCACTGTTTATTACAGATTACCGTATAAACGAGGTTAGTGTTGACTACACACTACCTCGATAAAGGAGTCACTGTTTATTACAAACCGCCGTATGGGACGCTGTTGGTTTTGACTACAGACCACCTTGATAAAGGTGTCACTGTTTATTAGAGACTCCCGTCTTAACGCTGTTGGTGTTGACTACAGACCACCTAGATAAAGGTGTCACTGCTTATTACAGACTACCGTATGGACGCTGTTGGTGTTGACTACAGACCACCTCGATAAAGGTGTCACAGTTTATTACATACTACCGTATTAACAGTATTGGTGTTGACTACAGACCACCTCGATAAAGGTGTCACTGTTTATTACAGACTACCGTATTAACGCTGTTGGTGTTGACTACAGACCACCACGATAAAGGTGTCACTGTTTATTACAGACTCCCGTCTTAACGCTGTTGGTGTTGACTACAGACCACCTAGATAAAGGTGTCACTGTTTATTACATACTACCGTATTAACGCTGTTGGTGTTGATTACAGACCACCTCGATAAAGGTGTCACTGTTTATTACAGACTACCGTATTAACGCTGTTGGTGTTGACTACAGACACCTAGATAAAGGTGTCACTGCTTATTACAGACTACCGTATGGACGCTGTTGGTGTTGACTACAGACCACCTCGATAAAGGTGTCACTGCTTATTACAGACTACCGTATGGACGCTGTTGGTGTTGACTACAGACCACCTCGATAAAGGTGTCACTGTTTATTACGGACTACCGTATTAACGCTGTTGGTGTTGATTACAGACCACCTCGGTAAAGGTGTCACTGTTGATCACAGACCGCCGTATGGGACGCTGTTGGTTTTGACTACAGACCACCTCGATAAAGGTGTCACTGTTTATTACATACTACCGTATTAACGCTGTTGGTGTTGACTACAGACCACCTCGATAAATGTGTCACTGTTTATTACAGACTACCGTATTAACGCTGTTGGTGTTGACTACAGACCACCTCGATAAATGTGTCACTGTTTATCACAGACTACCGTATCAACGCTGTTAGTGTTGACTACAGACTACCTCGATAAAGGTGTCACTGTTTATTACAGACTACCGTATTAACGCTGTTGGTGTTGACTACAGACCACCTCGATAAAGGTGTCACTGTTTATTACAGACTGCCGTATTAACGCTGTTGGTGTTGACTACAGACCACCTCGATAAAGGTGTCACTGTTTATCACAGACTACCGTATTAACGCTGTTAGTGTTGACTACAGACTCCCTCGATAAAGGTGTCACTGTTTATTACACACTACCGTATTAACGCTGTTGGTGTTGACTACAGACCACCTCGATAAAGGTGTCACTGTTTATTACAGACTACCGTATGGACGCTGTTGGTGTTGACTACAGACCACCTAGATAAAGGTGTCACTGTTTATTACATACTACCGTATTAACGCTGTTGGTGTTGACTACAGACAACCTCGATAAATGTGTCACTGTTTATCACAGACCGCCGTATGGGACGCTGTTGGTTTTGACTACAGACCACCTCGATAAATGTGTTACTGTTTATTACAGACTACCGTATTAACGCTGTTGGTGTTGACTACAGACACCTAGATAAAGATGTCACTGTTTATCACAGACTACCGTATTGGACGCTGTTGGTGTTGACTACAAACCACCTCGATAAAGGTGTCACTGTTTATTACATACTACCGTATTAACGCTGTTGGTGTTGACTACAGACCACCTCGATAAAGGTGTCACTGTTATTACAGACTACCGTAGTTACGCGGTTAGTGTTGACTACAGACTACCTTGATAAAGGTGTCACTGTTTATTACAGACTGCCGTATTAACGCTGTTAGTGTTGACTACAGACAACCTCGATAAAGGTGTCACTGTTTATTACATACTACCGTATTAACGCAAACTCAACTGAATACTCGTGCATGATTTAAATGGCGCACTATATATAACTCACTCACTCACTCCGCAAACTCTTCTTTTTATCAACTGAATACTCGTGCATGATTTAAATGGCGCACTATATATAACTCACTCACTCACTCCGCAAACTCTTCTTTTCATTAACTGAATACTCGTGCATGATTTAAATGGCGCACTATATATAACTCACTCACTCACTCACTCCGCAAACTCTTCTTTTCATCAACTGAATACTCGTGCATGATTTAGATGGCGCACTATATATAACTCACTCACTCACTCCGCAAACTCTTTTTTTTATCATCTGAATACTCGTGCATGATTTAAATGGCGCACACTTGATTATTGTAAGTTACAGTACACTTTACTGTTAAACAGAAAAATTTAAATTGAGGATTAAAATCTTTATTTATATGTTGTAGCAAACAGAAAAAACAAACAACTGCACAACCAATAAGCGAAACATCTAGCAACATCTTAATAACACAGTACTTACACAATAAAAGTAAAGTAAATAAAATACGGAAAAACTGAGCATATCAGCTAAAGTTGAACGAAAAACAATTCAAAAGTCATTCAGAAATGTTAAATAATGTTAAACACACTTCTAAAAATATTTCAGCAAACAATTATGTGCAAATGTTTATTTATGTTGACCCAAGACACAGTGTATAAGACTTGCAGGAAATCAGAAAGCCTGTCTGTTGTTGTCAACTCTTCGCAAAGTCCAACTCGAACCTACCTCGCATCAAGAAACTGCCGACTACAATAAGAACATCAAAGACACATATGCTGCTACATCCGGGACACCGTCGCAACAAATGAGAATGAGTGAGTGAGGTGTGTTTAACGCCGCTTTTAACAGTATTCCAGTTATATCACGGCGTGTCAGCTTAAGGAAAGCCCGAAGTGATGCAGGTCTCAGACGTTTACAACATTCGGTGACACCCACGAGCACGTGTATGGTGCTGACAAATCTAGAAACATAATCGGGTCGAACCGGGATTCGAACCAACAATCATAGGTTTCTGGCTTGCCCAAGGGACACAACTCTGCACAGCGAATCGCGTCGCCTTAGACGACTTGGCCACCCGTGTCCCCGCAACAAATGAGAAGAACATCCCCTGAGCAAAGGTACAATAAATAGATAGGGACGATGTTTAAATTGTTGTTTTTTTGGAAAATGGCTATCGACAATCTTAAGGAAAGCTACAATAAATAGATGGGTACGATGTTTTAATTGTTTGTTTGAAAATTAGTTGCCACAACCTTTGTGTACGTGTATTCGTCTTTTCTCGTGGCAAATGTTCATAACACAATAACTGAGTGCATGCAAATGACATTAGTCAAGTTGGTTAATATCTTGTAAAAATGGAGGACTGGTACCATTGTCAGCCCCGGAACCAATGGGCCAACTCCGTGCCTTGCACTGACCTTTCAATACACGCTGGATAAAGGATACTTTGTTGCAGGACAATAGGGATCATTATGACAGATCATTATGAGTCCGTCACCGTGGAGACTCTGCTGTTTGGTTTGTTCCTAATTGGTGGGTCAGAATATGTTATTGATGATTAACCATTTCCATAATCAACAAGAAATCTCTGCTAAATAACAAAGAAAAAATAAAAGCGACAAAACCCATTCTGTAATGATAGAAATCGCCGCTAAAAGCTAAGTCGATTGTTCAATTCCAACTATATCATGTGCACGCGTCTATGCATTAGTATCAAATAGAGATGATAACTATGTATTCGCGAAATGCTGCCCAACCGGTGACATCCGACACAAACACACGCAAAGGCAAGTCAATTGTTCACCTGCAAACATAACGGGAATGTATGGCACAAGTCAAAGTAGGGAGTTGCATCAGACATCATTTTGGTCACTGACGCGTCAAATTTGGATATCTATCTTTACAGGGGCGGCTTGGGAGCCTAGTGGTTTAAGCAATCTCTCGTCACGCCGAAAACCCGGGTTCGATTCCCCACATGGGTACAATGTGTGAAGCCCATTTCTAGTGTCGCCTGCCGTGATATTGCTTAAATGTTGCTAAAAGCGGCGTAAAACCACACTCACTATCTTTACAAAAATGTGAAACTTTACAGATCCCTGTTACAACACCCTGACAAAAACAACTTTTGAGCAATGGTCGTGTGAAGAGTCAATTAGGGATGACACTTGGTGCTTGCGCGTACATCAGTACTGACCGTCTCTGTATTACACTGTATTCATGATCAACTGTAACGCTGTGTAACACACATCTTCATCCACGTTCATCCACGATAGATAATGGACAGAATATACTTCTCCTATCTCCGAGACCGCCTCCGTGGTCTTGTGGTAGAACGTCCGCCCGGAGAGCGGAAGGTCCGGGGTTCGATCCCCGGCCGCGTCATACCAAAGGACGTTAAAATATGGTACTTGTTGTTACCCTGTCTGGTGCTCGGCATTAAGGGGCTAAAACAAGGACTGGTCGGCTCGGAGTCAGTATACTGTGTCTGAGTGGGGTATTCATGTTAAACTGCGGCATGGTATCTCAGTGAGCTAGCACTATAAATCGGCATCAGTCCGGACTAGTACAAGCAGCCACACACACACGTGCATGCACGTCGCTATATAAATGCAATAATGTTGGACGCGACGTTAAACCCCATTTTACCTCACCTCACCGATCTCCGAATTTTCAACTGCAGCATCGTCATTCCTCTGTGAGCACGTCTCCAACGACGAGGCCTTAGATACATGTAAATCAGTGCAGTGATTGTTGTAGGAGGATGCAGGTTCGTGAATGAGAAATACTTATGTTAGCGTTGGATGCTTCTGCATACGAATAGTAATGCTAACATTCTATCGTCCTAAACGAAACAGTTTCACTTCTGAACAGTAGCCCTGGAATAATAGTCACAACACAGTCAGACAAGGATACAGAAGCTGTGTCTGTGTTCTCGAAGACGTAGGGAAGAATGGTTGTAATAACGGCATCACGCATTATAATACGTGACACATTCGTGAACCTAAAGGCTTGGGGTTGGATGGTGGTAATGTGTACACTGTGCATCATCAGGAGAGATGCTGTCAGGTTGTTGAAGGCATGAGGCTGGATGTTTCCAATTCGTCCTTTAGATAACGTAATGGCTTGAGCTGACACGCTGCAAAAACAATTAGAGGGAAGTTCATCTATCACAATGTTAGATAGAGCAATACGTGTGTTCAGCAAGTTGAAAAATGCTTCTCCTTCAATGGTACCAATTGTGACATCCTCAAAGGATATTCTTCCTTCTGAGATGCTGCTGAAAGTGTGTCTTTGTATTGTTAAAACATTCACGCCCTTTAAAGTCACTGATGTAAGTCTAGGCATGTTGAGAAATGCAGTCGTCGGTAAAGTGATGGTGGAGTTGGTGATCGTCACTGATGTCGCTGACGTGGACACTAGGCCCGGGAACGTGGTCAGGCCTGTGCACGTGATTGAGGAAGACGTTATCTGGCATCTTCCTGGGCTCGTGGTGCCGTTGACGTCATTGTTACCATCGTTGTCACAGTTATTCACGACAATGACGTATCTGGTGCTCATTATGCCTTCGAGGGCATGACATCCAACATATGTTATAGCAGTGTCTGACAGGGACGAGGAGGAGGAGGAGCGCTTGAAGCTGTAGTTCTGGAGATATGTGATGTTGCAGTTGGAGACTCTGATGGAAGAGCCTGTGAAGGCATAGGACTGGACAGTGGTGATGTTTGCGTAGTATAAACTCATTGATGACACAGAGATATTTGCAAAGGCATGGGATTGAATATTGGTTATGTTTGCCTTGTGTAAGCGCATGTATGATGAAGTCATATTGGCAAAGGCATAGGATTGAATAGTATTGATGTTTGCGTTGTATATTTCCATGAATGATGCACTCACATTTGCAAAGGCATAGGACTCTATGGTGGTGATGTTTGCGTTGTATATTTTCATGAATGATGCACTCACATTTGCAAAGGCATAGGACTCTATGGTAGTGATGTTTGCGTTGTTAATTTCCATGAACGATGCACTCACATTTGCAAAGGCATAGGACTCTATGGTGGTGATGTTTGCGTTGTATATGTCCAAATGAGACACACTCATGTTGTTAAAAGTATGGGGCTGAATGGAGGCGATACTAGCGTTGTATAGATCGAAAGAACCGATGACTGCATTGTGAAAAGCATTTGATCCGATAGAATTCATAATGATGTTGTACAGGTCCAGAGATGAAACTTTGATACCGACAAAGGCATAGGATTGGATAGTGGTGATATTTGCGTTGTATATTTTCATGAATGATGCACTCACATTTGCAAAGGCATAGGACTCTATGGTGGTTATGTTTGCGTTGTATATATTCATGAATGATGCACTCATATTTGCAAAGACATAGGACTCTATGGTGGTGATGCTTACGTTGTATATATTCATGTGAGACGCACTCATATTTACAAAGGCATAGGACTCTATGGTGGTGATGTTTGCGTTGTATATGTCCAAATGAGACACACTCATGTTGTTAAAAGTATGGGGCTGAATGGAGGCGATACTAGCGTTGTATAGATCGAAAGAACTGAAGACTGCATTGTGAAAAGCATTTGATCCGATAGAATTCATAATGATGTTGTACAGGTCCAGAGATGAAACTTTGATACCGACAAAGGCATAGGATTGGATAGTGGTGATATTTGCGTTGTATATTTTCATGAATGATGCACTCACATTTGCAAAGGCATGGGACTCTATGCTGGTGATGCTTACGTTGTATATATTCAGGAAGGTTGCTGTAAGATTACCGAAAGAGTTTGAACCGATCGTCGAGATGTTTGAATTATAAATGTCAAAGAAGGACGCTGTGACATTCTGAAAGGCGTGAGGCTGAAGGGTCGTGATGTTGACATTGTGTATCTTCAGGAATGAAACATCCATACGGCTGAAGGCTTGTGACTGGACTGTTGTGACTCGTCCATGTGATAGAGAAAAGGAGAATGAGGACACATTGTGAAATGTTCTTGAGGGCAGCACGTCCACCCCAAAGTTAGAAATATACACACTTGTTCTGCTCAAGTTGAAGAAAGCCTCCTCTTCAATGGTGGTAATAGTGACGTTCTTCAGACGAATACTTCCCCCGGAGACATCCCCGAATGCATGTCTGGTGATGGAGATGGTGCCACCTGTACAGATGAAGGAGGTAGGCGAACACTGACATCCACCTGGGCAGACCACCGCGTGGTGAGTCACGTGCCACGTGAGTACGTGCATGAGGATCACCAAACTCAAGCCTCTGACACCGATCTGGAACAATGAAAGGATGCATCCTGACAAACAAATAGTTGAGAGAAGACAGGTCTAACAACCTGATAACACAATCACAGTTCGCATACAATAACAGTAAAGCAGGTAAGGAACTTTTACAACAATGAAACGGGTTCTTCTACAAAACGGAAAAGGATATTATTATGTGTATACCCTGTTTGCGAGCCCATGTACCCCGAGCCGGCCCGCTCGTACACATATAGACCCCGATGTACCGGTTGATAATTAATTCGTCTCACCTGCACAATTTTCACCCGTTTAACTAAAATGTCGGAAATTATTATGCTGTCATTTTCAAACTGGCTTTAAACATCCTATTACTGTTAGACACCAATTGAGATTATGATTCCCCCCCCCCCCCCACACACACACACACACACACACCCAAAGCATTAGCAAATTATCCGAATTATGAATGAATGCATACAATCTCCACTTTATCGCATCAACTGTTCAAAGTACAGATCGCATTCCATTATCATTTAAGTTTCTTCCTTGTTATGCCATTCAGTATAGGGAAGACATCTGAAATTGTCCTCATAATCCCCATGACAACATCATATTAAATACGGCCATAATCATGAATATATAGTGCTACGGTCATGTAGATCACCTGGCGATGTCAACTGGATATTGATATAAGAGTGTTTCCATTCTCGCCATATTATAAAAAAACGTAAAAATATCAGATCTGTTCACTTCAACACTTCAACCTTTCAGCTTCAATTATCAAACGAAAGAACATGTTGAAGGACGAAGGACAAATAACAGTCAGATCATTGCATCAGGTGAGCTTAAAATCTGAAAGCATCTCATTGTACCAAAATATTGAGACTTTACGGTTTGTTTTTATTCCATCGCTGATCAATATTTGTGTATGAATAACCATTGAGAACAGAAAAAAACGCTGGTTTCATAAAGTTTATTAGAAGTGTAGATATGTGTTAAAAACTAATTAGATAAATGTCCATGTAACGACAAAGAAAGCTATTGATACACACCTCATTGTGATGATTGATGTCTAAGTATGTTCTCACCTTTTCGTGAACACGTGCGAACATCATTATTTGGCAGTGATTCATAAACATGTACTCGTGATATAATCGGAATGGTAGGATAGACTCCGCTTTAAATGAGGATACATAAATCAGTGACGCCGCTTTTAACAGTATTCCAGTTATATGGCGGCGTGTCAGCTTAATGTGGGAGGAAAGCCCGAAGTGATGCAGGTCTCAGACAGTTACCACTTCGGTGAAATCCACGAACACGGACATGGTGCTGACAAACCGAGAAACATATTCGGGGCGAACCGGGATTCGAGCCCGCAATCATAAGTTTCTGGTGTGCCCAAGGGACGCAACTCTGCACAGCGAATCGCGGCGCCTTAGACGACTGGGCCACCCGTGCCCCCGATACATGAATCAGAATGTACTAATCCTCTAGATTGGAATTACTTGTAGATGCCAACTTGCTCCTTTTGTTAGAAAGAATACATATAAGTGAACTCTTATACATTCTCCATCTGTTACCTACTGCTTTCGGGGGGAGGTTGGGTAGCCTAGTGGTTAAAGCGTTCGATCGTCATGCCGAAGATCCGGGTTCGATTCCCGACATGGGTACAATGTGTGAAGGCCATTTCTGGTGCCCCCCGCCGTGATCTTGCTGGAATATTGCTAAAAGCGGCATAAAACCATACTCACTTAATTCTGCTGTCGGTATAAGCAAACAAGTTCAATCATAATGTACGTACATCCTAATGCGCCTTGATCCTATAGAAATTACTGTTGGCACACAGGGAGCTCATTCCTAGTCTCGTTCCTATCTATGCAAATGGACTGAACCACAATTTTTGATGAGAGATAAGGTCAGTATGACAGTTTCACATTCGTTTATCACATTTCACATGATGCACACGAGTGACTGAGTGAGTTGGGTTTTACAACGCTTTTAACATTATGACAGTTATATCGCGGCGTGTCAGCTTAATGTGGGAGGAAAGCCCGAAGTGATGCAGGTCTCAGACATTTACCACTTCTATGGTGTTGACAAACCTAGAAACATAATCGGGGCGAACCGGGATTCGAACCCACAATCCCAGGTTTCTGGCGGGCCCAAGGAACGCAACTCTGCACAGCGAATCACGGCGCCTTAGACGACTGGGCCACCTGTGCCCCATGATGCACACGACATTTGCCGGGCGCTATCCTTGTAAGACATTCTTGGTCTGGTGACGTTGTCTGAAATATTGAAGCCCCTTTGAAATGCTCCGATGTGCTTGAGGTGAATACTCTTAACATTTAATCGTTCCACGTATGTTAGTCAAGCTCCATGATTGCAACGTCAGACGTAAAACCAGACTCACTGCTACTCACCATTTCAACCAAGTCCCTGTAGCTGTGAGGTGCTGGATGTGAAGTGTTCTGTCTGTACACACCAACACTGATCACGACGCCCGGGGCTCTTTCATATGAACGCTTTAGCCATACGTTAGTCAAGCTTTCTGATTAGCTCAGATGGAACAGGAAGGTAATATAGGACGTCATGAAGGACGTTTAATCCTTTCAATTGAACATGGTTACCAGGAAATTTTGTTTATGTTTTTTGTTGTGTGAATCGGATTTATCAATATCGTAGGAAAATGACCTCAAACAAATAGAAAACAAACAAAAACACCCATACGTATTTCAATGATGGCAGCTGGCATTAATTTGTGAAAGGAAAATTATATCCTGCCCCGACGGCAAGTACCCATTGTGTATTGTGATAAACACATATACAAACAAATGTGACCGTCACAAACATTATATGCAGCACTAGCGAATAAATGCTCAACAATTATTTATTACAAAACTGGGGCGGTCGGGTAGCCTAGTGGTTAAAGCGTTCGCTCGTCACGCCGAAAACCCGGGTTCGATTCCCGACATTGGTACAATGTGTGAAGCCCATTTCTGGTGTTCCCCGCCGTGATATTGCTGGGATATTGCTACAAGCGGCGTAAAACCATACTCACTATTACAAAACTTATAAAACCTGGTACTAGCCGGTATGAATGAACTCGGGAACTCAAGTATGATATGATATGAGGCGACCTCATATTTGATAATGCCAGGATCGGGACACAGAGGTGTGAGGATCTGATTGAAATAAGGAAATAACGATTGAATGTTTGATGCACCCAGCCCACACCACGAATCGGACTGTCACACAATGCAGTGAAAAACGTTTATTGTCAACCTTGGAATCTTGCTGACTCAGCATCTGGGGTATTTAATCCTCTCACATGTGACATTCGCGAGGCGTCTCTTCACGCTGATGATCAGATGTCTGTGTTTCCTCTGCCATTCCTGGTGGAGTATCTGATCCTCTCACGGGTGACATTCGCGAGGCGTCTCCTCACGCTGATGATCAGATGTCTGGGTTTCCTCTGCCATTCCTGGTTCAGTATCTAATCCTCTCACGGGTGACATTCGCGAGGCGTCTCCTCACGCTGATGATCAGATGTCTGGGTTTCCTCTGCCATTCCTGGTGGAGTATCTAATGCTCTTATGGGTGACATTCGCTAGGCGTCTCCTCACGCTGATGATCACATGTCTGGGTTTCCTCTGCTATTACTGGTGGAGTACCAGGATCAGTTCATTCAGGTTTTGAACTGGAGGGTCTCTATAGCTAGATCTCACTGGCGGCCAAGGTGACCTCAAAGGTGTTAAAAAGTGGTTCAGATCAGGTTTTTGTCTTTATTTTTCGAAATTGTATTTTGAATCAGGTGGTGCTTCAGTAATGTTAAAATGTATAGGTCGTATATTATTCTACATATACATTTATCCTTCTTGTGTCTGTGATGTTGACGATACAGTGAATGCTATTAATGAGTGTATAGTGTCGTCGACGCTAATATTGAACTCACTGCTGTATATAACAAAATCAAGTATAATTCCCTCATAGTAGTTGTAGTGGCGGTGGTAGTAGTAGTTGTAGTAGTGAGTGAGTGAGTGGGTTGGGTTTAACGCCACATTTAACAGTATTCCAGTTATATCACGGTGTGTCAGCTTAATGTGGGAGGAAAGCCCGAGGTGACGCAGGTCTCAGACATTTACCACTTTGGTAAAACAGGTATGGTGCTGACAAACCTGGAAACATAATAGGGGATGCAACTCTGCATAGCGAATCGCGGCGCCTTAGACAACTGGGCTATCCGTGCCCCCTGTAGTAGTAGTAGTAGTGGAAGTAGTAGTAATAGTATCAGTAGTAGTAGTATTAGTAGAAGTTGTAGTAGAAGTAGTAGTAGTAGTAGTAGTAGAAGAAGAAGTAGTAGTAGTGAAAGTAGTAGTAGTAGTATAGTAGTAGTAGTAGTAGTAGTTGTAGTAGTAGTAGAAGTAGTAGAAGTGATAGTAGTAGAATTAGCAGTGGCAGTGGTGGTAGTAGTAGTAGTAGTCGTAGTAGAAGTAGTAGTAGTAGAAGTAACAGTGGCTGTGGTGGTGGTAGTAGTAGTAGTAGTAGTAGTAGTAGTAGTAGTAGTAGTAGTAGTAGTAGTAGTAGTGATAGTGAGTGATTGAGTGGTTGAGTGAACGAGTTGGGTTTTACACCGCTTTTAACAGTATTACAGTTACATCACGGCGTGTCAGCTAAATGTGGGAGGAAAGCCCGAAGTGATGCATGGCTCAGACATTTACCACTTCGGTGAAACCCACGAGCACTGGTATGGTGCTGACAAACCTAGAAACATAATCGGGGCGAACCGGGATTGGCGTGTCCAAGGGACGCAACTCTGCATAGCAAATGACGGCGCCTTAGACGACTGGGCCACCCGTGCCCCCAGTAGTTGTCGATGTTGTGTTTCTAGGTTTGTCGGCACCATACCCGTGCTCGTGGGTTTCATCAAGTGGTAAAAGCCTGAGACCTGCATCACTTCGGGCTTTCCTCCCACATTAAAGTGACACGCCATGATATAACTGGAATACTGTTAAAAGCGGCGTTAAACCCAACTCACTCATTATACATCTGGTTTGTTATCACATGATAATTACATGTATTGGCCGAGAGATAAAGTGGGCTTCACTAGCCTAGGCTTACCTACTCATGCTGGCGTTGGAACGGTGTCTGTACACAACAATTGAACATTGTCCTTGTACTTTGAATGTACATTTATACATGACATTGCAGAACACACGACTTTGATTGCGTAATCAGTGGTATTGCTACATCAAATGACACATCTAAGATTGTACTGCCGCTTCACAGCGTTGCTGTATTACAAAGTCACAATTATCTTGTTGACTCTTGTTGACAATCATGTTGCTCTTTCTTTTCGCATCAACTTAGTAATACGAAGTTTTGTTGTTTTGTAAACAACCATGTTATTTCTTCATTTACGTATCAACTTAGTAATACGAAGTTTTGTTGTTTTGTAAAAAAACATGTTATTTCTTCATTTACGTATCAACTTAGTATTACGAAGTTTTGTTGTTTTGTAAACAACCATGTTATTTCTTCATTTACGTAGCAACTTAGTATCACGAAGTTTTGTGAACAACCATGTAATTTCTTCATTTACGTATCAATTTAGTACAACGAAGTTTTGTTGTTTTGTAAACAACCATGTTATTTCTTCATTTACGTATCAACTTAGTATTACGAAGTTTTGTTGTTTTGTAAACAACCATGTAATTTCTTCATTTACGTATCAACGTAGAAGGACGAAGTTGTGTTGTTATTATGTTAAGTAATAACTTCGTATTACGAAGTTTTGTCGTTTCTTGACAACCAGTACGTTCTGTCTCATCCGACATTTTGTATTGAGTCTAAATTTTGTTTGTTGTGGCTGCTTGTTTTGTTTTTAACGTCGCAATCAACATTGTTCCAGCTGTATGACGGCGGCGCGTGTAAAGTATCGTGTCTGGACCAGACAAACCAGTGACTGATATTATGAGCAACATTCCACCTGATCCATTCTGTCGCTTCTGACGACAAGCAGGGGTTGCTGGACACCAGATCTTACCCGGAATCTCCGCGAGGGTGGTCATATATCAATCCATGTCTAAAACCAAATGAACTTCGAGTATGCATGGATACCAGTAATTCGAGTTTTAGACGCGTGGATACCAGCAATTCGAGTTTTAGACACGTGGATACCAGTAATTCGACTTCAGACACGTGGATACAAGTACTTCGAGTTTCAGACGCGTGGGTACCAGTAATTCGACTTTCAGACGCGTGGAAACCAGTAATTCAAGTTTCAGACGCGTGGATACCAGTAATTCAAGTTTCAGACGCGTGGATACCAGTAATTCGAGTTTCAGACGCGTGGGTACCAGTAATTCGAGTTTCAGACACGTGGATACCAGTAATTCGACTTTCAGACACGTGGATACAAGTAATTCGAGTTTCAGACGCGTGGATACCAGTAATTCGACATTCAGACGCGTTGATACTAGTAATTCAAATTTCAGACACGTGGATACCAGTAATTCGACTTTCAGACACGTGGATACCAGTAATTCGACTTCCAGACGCGTGGATACCAGTAATTCAAGTTTCAGACGCGTGGATACCAGTAATTCGATTTTCAGACGCGTGGATACCAGTAATTCGACTTTCAGACGCATGGATACCAGTAATTCGACTTTCAGACACGTGGATACCAGTAATTCGAGTGTCAGACGCGTGGATACCAGTAATTCGACTTTCAGACGCGTGGATACCAGTAATTCGACTTTCAGACGCATGGATACCAGTAATTCGACTTTCAGACACGTGGATACCAGTAATTCAAGTTTCAGACGCGTGGATACCAGTAATTCGACTTTCAGACACGAGGATACCAGTAATTCGAGTTTCAGACACATGGATACCAGTAATTCGAGTTTCAGACACGTGGATACCAGTAACTCGAATTTCAGGCGCGTGGATACCAGTAATTCGAGTTTCAGACGCGTGGATACCAGTAATTCGAGTTTCAGAAAGACCCGTGAAGATCCGTGATAGAATAGGTCTTCAGCAACCAATGCTTGCCGTAAAAGGCGACTATGTTTGTCGTAAGAGGCGACTAACGGGATCGGGTGGTCAGGCTCGCTGACTTGGTTCATGCATAGCATCGTATCCCAATTGCGTGGATCGATGCTCATGATGTCAATCACTGGATTGCCTGGTCCAGACTCGATTATTTACAGACCGCCGTCATATAGCTGGAATATTGCTGAGTGTGGCGTAAAAAAACAAACGCAACGCAAAGAGTTTCAGACAAAAGAAATAGGCACAGATGATCCACTTCTTTGAAGTCTGACGCTGTTTTCCCTCGATACTAAAGCGGGGGACACCAGGAATGACCCTCAGTGTAAATATGTAGGTAAACAAACTGGAACAATGGTATCCCCCAATTGCAATAGCCCAGTGTACAACAGAGACGTTAACAAGAGGCAAGAATTCATACAGTGTTATACTCGTGTTGAGACTTTTACTGCATATGAAATGTGATAAATATGTGATAGAAGATGGAAGGTTAGAGTGAGTGAGTTGGGTTTAACGCCGCTTTTAACATTATTCCAGTTATATCACGGCGTGTCAGCTTAATTTGGGAGGAAAGCCCGAAGTGGTGCAGGTCTAAGACGTTTACCACTTCGGTGAAACCCAAGAGCATGGGTATAGTGCTGACAAACCTAGAAACATAATTGGGGCGAACCGGGATTCGAACCCACAAATCATAGGTTTCTGGCGTGCCCTAGGGACGCAACTCTGCACAGGGAATCGCGGCGCATTAGACGACTGGGCCACCCTGACCCCCGAAGATGGGTCAGTCTGATCTGAGGACGGTTTATGTGAACGATAGACGACAGACTACGATAGACGTTGATTTTCACACGAAAACTCACTAAACGATCAGACCGCCTCCGTGGTCTTGTGGTAGAGCGTCCGCCCGGAGAGCGGAAGGTCCAGGGTTCGATCCCGGGCCGCGTCATACAAAAAGACGTTAAAAGATTGTACTTGTTGTTACCCTGTCTGGCGCTCGGCATTAAGGGGCTAAAACAAGGACCGGTCGGCTCGGAGTCAGTATACTGTGTCTGAGTGGGTTATTCATGTTAAACTGCTGCATGGTATCTCAGCGAGCTAGCACTATAAATCGACATCAGTCCGGACTAGTACAAGCAGCCACACACACACGTGCATGCACGTCGCTATATAAGTGCAATAATGTTGGACGCGAGGTTAAACCCAATTTCACCTCACCTCACTAAACGATCAAAACAATGGTCAATACTTCACAGGTTTGCATGTACGACGTTCCCCTATCACCCATTGATACATACAGCTGCCATGCGCTGCAATAGGGACGGTTGTGAAGTCAGGAAATGGCGCCGTGTATAATCAATGACCTCTACTCCGTGCATAAACTCCACGTTTCGGTAGAGGACATTTTCAAATGTGAAGCATCAGTGACAAAAATGATGTCCGATGCAATTTCATATTTTGACTAGTATCATATGTTCCCGTGTTTTGTTTAGGTGAACAATTGACTTGCCTTTGCATGTGTTTGTGACGGGTGCCACCCGTGGGACAGGATACGCACCTTTTCGCGAACACCTTGTGTCACCACTATTTGATAGTGATTCATAAACATACAACCGACTCTGCTTTATGCAGAGGCTTCTATTGGATATGGAAAGGGTTTTGTCGCTTTATTTTAGGATCTTGTGGCGGTTTTATAGTGCTAGCCCACTGAGATACCATGCTGCCGTTTAACATGAATACCCCACTCAGGCACAGTATACTGACTCCGAGCCGAACAGTCCTTAAATCGCCTTAATGCCTAGCGCCAGGCATGGTAACAACAAATACCATCTTTAACGTCTTTTGGTATGCAGTGGCCAGGAGATCGAACCCCGATCTTCCGCTCTCCCGGCAGACGTTCTGTTCACTTGACCACGGACAACTTGCACAAAGCGATCTTAGTGCTATGACTATTGTAAGCCTGTTTAAGTATTGGAGTTACGATCATCTTAGCGCTAAGATAGCTTTGAGTAAGTTGGCCCAGGTCGTAAGGCAGAGCGACCGGATGTATTCTCGGGTGACGTAGAGAAGTAAGATCAAAACTGGAATAACGTTATTTCGAATAAAAAATACGACATTTAAAATGTTGGTTATATTTTGATATAGACAGAATAAAATTGTAAAATTCACATAAACTGATGCACTCCAAAGCAATCCAAATCGTCGATACTCGGAAGGAAGCCATTCGACATCTTGGACATTTTGGATCTGGCGATCACTTCACATATGAACGTTTTGAATAATCGCTGATTCCACGTTATTTCGGTAAAAAGGTTTTCTCTTGCGATTTGTCACGTGATAAAAAAGTGGTAGTCTCATGGGATGATATGTGGTACAGTCACGTGATGAAAAGTGGTACTGTCACGAGATTGAAGGTGGTACTGTCACGTGATGAAAGGTGGTAGTGTCACGTGATTGAAGGTGGTACTGTCACGTGATGAACGATGACACAGGATGAACCTCTTCCTACAATTTGTCGTAAGTGCTGCCGCGTTGTTTGATACAGCCGATGGTAAACAAGGCTCCGTCCTGTTGAAAACCAGGGCATAAATTCATTTTTACAATGTCTTTGTAAATGCGACCCATCAATTCTAACATAAGTCAGTGGTGGATGCATACACTGGACACACAAAAAGATGCCTTTATAATGCCTCAAAGTGAGATTGACCAATCGGAAAGCATAACTACTAACCCCTTATGATGCCGTTTACCGTCAGTAAAAATCCAAAATTGTTGCCCCTGACCTAATATGAGACCGTAAACCGTCAGTAACAGCCATTTTTGATTTTCCAACACCCACCTCACATACATGTATTTCACATGACAATTCTGGTACAGAAATTCGTTATTCGACACTTTTGTGTTTTAATATCATTAATTATTATTGTGATGTGCATGACTTTTTAAAGAAACCACGTCCGTGACTTTATCGATGTAAATTGTAGAGAAAAAACGGAAGTCATTGATTTACAAATAGCGTAGAAACAAACGTCATAGAACATATCATAGGACGACGTCACAAACAAGAATCGTGACGTCATTGACGTTACATAGCAACAGCATTGATAGCAGCCCGTCGTCCAAGTCACAGTGGCCCGCCCCTGCCCTTATATTGCTCGAATATTGCTAAAAAGCCTCATAAAGCCATACTCACTCACTCACTCACTTACTACAGTGTTCCGCAGATTTCTGATAACGAGCGAACATTTTATCCATGTTAACTACAATATACTCTTCAAAAATAGAAACGCAATACGGATATTTTTGGCCATAAAAGCAAAATTAGCTGACCAAGAGGTACAAGATGAAGAGGTTTAATGTGTGATAGTGTCAGTGACAAATTTCCCGGATTAAATTACCCCAACAAGGACGCTTTATTGATGGTAGCGGACCTTCACCTTCGACTTTTCCTATGTACCGATTACTGAGATGACTACAATCACCAAGTGTTCTATCCTCAACATTTTGGCTCAATACCTTGTACGGTTCCTCGTATAAATGTTTTTCCTAACGTTCACATAAAGTGCATTATATATTCCATTGTTAACGGTTGTGTTTACATTAAAGCGTTGTATCGGAAACATACGTACTGCAATTTACATCGGTTGTAAGTGTCAAGTTTATATTTTGACATAACATGTGCGATATAAAAATACCAGCTGCAGATAGTGTTAACTTGTAGGCATAACAAATTCTTTATAGTGTCTTCAGTTGCCGTATAGGGTGTCATATTAGGTTATAGGCACTATTTTTCTGTAACACTGTAACTAATGATACAGGATACATATATGGATACATACTAAAGATACACACATGGGATACAAAGACATGATACGTAGGGACTGACCATCGAGAGTTAAAGCAATTGATACAATGACACGTTGTAGTTTAAAGTTTACTGTAAAAAGTCAACTATTTGCATCGTGTCACAACATCACCGAGGGGCGGTCGGGTAGCTCAGTGGTTGAAGCGTTCGCTCGTCACGCCGAAGACCCGAGTTCGATTCCCGACATGGGTACAATGAATGAAGTCCACTTCTGGTTTTCCCCGCCTTGATATTGCTGGAATATTGCTAAAAGCGCCGTAAAACTCACTACATCGCTGAATCATGTCTTGATTTTTTAAAAATTCATTACATACCAATTTCATAAGCGTTTCTCTCTTCTCCCTTATTTGCTCCCACCAGTATAGTGCAAACAGGAATACTATCACAACACGGTCCACTCACCTTAACCAGTCCAGGTAGGGCCGACCAGAACCCCCTGTTCGGTAGCATCTCCACCCCCTCCTTGCCCCCACGGTAACGGTTAAAGGTCATCCCAGCGACTAGGTAGATGAACCCGAACACGATCACCCTGGAAACAGTAGACACAACACACCCAGTCATCTCTTGCATACTCGAGGGTCTATGTTTCACGTGGTGCCTGTTGCCAGTAAATGCCTCTATGCTGTAATTCGTGGCATTTTGTAAACGGACACATTGGCCTCGTGTAGTTAGTGAAATCCTTAAGCGCAATATTGAAATCAATACAATTTGACGTAGACGAAGCCATGCGCACTTCAGTTTTAATTACATCACTTCCAGTTTGGGAAACACGTGGGTAATGCAAGACAAATTTTAAAAAGATTGCTTCTAGTCACTTCAAAAAAAAGGAGTTCAATGCAATTCATGACCTTCACCTTCATGTTCAGTCAATTATTTCTTGTCATAAACATATCATACCAACCTGGGTTTTGTTCAGTTAAAGATGAAGCAGAGCTAGCTTACGAATGACCAGTCTAGTGGCCTTGACCTACAATCATGTTCTCCCTAAACCTTTACACTTCCATGTCGTACTCTTCAGATAAAACTTCTTGAGTATTCATGAACATAATGCAGATCCCGCCCCAGGGATATCATGTGCAGTAACTCCTTCTCGTGTTAGGCAGTACAAAAACATTTTGAGGTTATGACCTTGAGGATAACCTTGACCCTTGACATGACTGATCAATGTACGCATTTAATAGCTCGAGTTTACAAGCTGACCCTGTTATCATATGCCTGATCCTATCAAAACTCGGCGAATGCGTTAGTCTGAACTGTGGGAAAAATAGACCTTCATCGGAAACTCACAAAATCAGTAGAATCGTGCCTCCGCTTAGCCCTTCGTCGGGCGGACCCAAGGCGGAACATCCGCCTGCACATGCGCACTGGCTTCTTAACTCCAGATGCTAAAAATAATAGTGAATACATCAAAGTAAGGGATCGGGGTGGCTGGTCTACATGAAACATTCTTCCCTAAATAATGTTCAAATTAATAACTTTTTTATTTGAAAAAATACAACTGTCATTTATACACCTGGCATCAAGTTTTATTTCAATCGAGTCAAATGTATTTTAAAACTTATATTTGCAGGTACATATCGTCTTTCATCACTAAATACATAATAAATGTAGTGAATACCAATCGAGAGGCAGTTAGGTATGAAGGTGTATATTAATTAACTTAAGACTTTCAGGTAAGTCAAGGGAGGTAAGTCAATGGAGGTAGTCAAGTGTTATGGGGAAGATAATTATCGTTCCGAGATGTCCGTGTGTGAGATGGCAAGTGCCGATAGTAGTTGTAGTGTCACGTACATACTGCTGAGGAGAAGTCTCCCCCTGAACCGTCACGATGGGTTCTTCCAGGTCGGGGTCACATATAGCTGTCACGAAGGTTTCCCTGCAAAAAGAGACATTTACAAAACATGGTATTAAATATTGCTGAAAGAACTCACTCGGAGATTATGAAAGACGCTCAAGGGAGGTGCAATTATATATCATACTTGACTTGGAAAACAGAGTTGATGAAGTGGAAGCCCCTGCTTGTAGGTTTATTGGTGCTGAAGATGATAACCTGTCAATTCAAATCGTACCCTGATCGTGTGGAGTGCATAGAATGGTAGTCCTATCTTGTGGAATGTATTGATTGGTATTCGGATCTTATGTAGTGCATGGTGCCCTGATCTTGTGGAGTGCATAGAATGGTGATCCGATCTTGTGGAGTGCATAGATTAGAACACTGATCTTATGTAGTGACTGGTACCCTGATCTTGTGGCGTGCATAGATTAGAACACTGATCTTATGGAGTGCATGGTGCCCTGATCTTGTGGAGTGCAAAACATGGTATCCCTAGCTTGTGGCGTGCATTGGTTAGAACACTGATCTTATGTAGTGACTGTTACCCTGATCTTGTGGCGTGCATTGATTAGAACACTGATCTTATGTAGTGCATGGTACCCTGATCTTGTGGAGGGCATTGATTAGAACACTGATCTTATGTAGTGCATGGTACCCTGATCTTGTGGCGTGCATTGATTAGAACACTGATCTTATGAAGTGCATGGTACCCTGATCTTGTGGCGTGCATTGATTAGAACACTGATCTTATGTAGTGCATGGTACCCTGATCTTGTGGAGTGCATTGATTAGAACACTGATCTTATGTAGAGCATGGTGCCCTGATCTTGTTGCGTGCATAGATTAGAACACTGATCTTATGTAGTGCATGGTACCCTGATCTTGTGGAGTACATAGATTAGAACACTGATCTTATGTAGTGACTGGTACCCTGATCTTATGGAGTGCATAGATGAGAAAACTGATATTATGTAGTGACTGGTACCCTGATCTTGTGGCGTGCAAAGATTAGAACACTGATCTTATGTAGTGACTGGTAGCCTGATCTTGTGGCGTACATTGATTAGAACACTGATCTTATGTAGTGCATGGTACCCTGATCCTGTGGCGTGCATAGATTAGAACACTGATCTTATGTAGTGCATGGTACCCTGATCCTGTGGCGTGCATTGATTAGAACACTGATCTTATGTAGTGCATGGTACCCTGATCTTGTGGAGTACATAGATTAGAACACTGATCTTATGTAGTGACTGGTATCCCGATCTTGTGGCGTGCATCTATTGGTACCCTCCTGTGGAATGCATGGGACCCCGCTCTTTTCCAGATCTAATATCAGTAGCCCAAATTAAGTTTAAAAATTCGTCAATAAACACGGGTAACATTTTCCAAATTTCAAAAGCACTATCTTGAAACCTTTTCATCAACAGACTGCCCTGACATAACTGACTGCGTCATAAAAACAACAAACAAACAATCAACAAATGTGACACTCCCTATTACAAGCACTGGCTTCCCATCTGCATCACAGCCAGACCGTGGGGTGATTTATGAGATGCTGGACTCGCCTACCTGAAGATTTCTGTTGTGGCGCTGTAGTACACCTGTATGTTGCTGCCGTCGTACGACCACGTCGCTGAATCCTGTCCGCCCAAGTTGTAGAACTCGGTAAGCTCAGGGGTTGTCTGACATACCTGTAGAGTATAGTGTGTGTGTTACAGTAGAAGTGACCATAGTGTGACACGTGTGTTACAGTACACGTTGACATAGTGTGCCAAGTGTGTTACAGTACACGTGGACTTAGTGTGCCAAGTGTGTTACAGTACACGTGGCCATACTGTGACAAGTGTGTGTTACAGTACACGTGGTCATAGTGTGACAAGTGTGTGTTACAGTACACGTGGCCATACTGTGACAAGTGTGTGTTACAGTACACGTGGTCATAGTGTGACAAGTGTGTGTTACAGTACACGTGGTCATAGTGGGACAAGTGTGTGTTACAGTACACGTGGTCATAGTGGGACAAGTCTGTGTTACATTACACATGGACATAGTGTGACAAGTGTGTGTTACATTACACCTGATCATAGTGTGACAAGTGTGTGTTACATTACACGTGGCCATAGTGTGACAAGTGTGTGTTACAGAACACGTGGACATTGTGTGACAAGTGTGTGTTACAGTACACATGGACATAGTGTGACAAGTGTGTGTTACAGAACACGTGGACATTGTGTGACAAGTGTGTGTTACAGAACACGTGGACATAGTGTGACAAGTGTGTGTTACATTACACGTGGACATTGTGTGACAAGTGTGTGTTACAGAACACGTGGACATATCGTGACAAGTGTGTGTTGAAGTACACGTGATCATAGTGTGACAAGTGTGTGTTGAAGTACACGTGATCATAGTGTGACAAGTGTGTGTTACATTACACGTGATCATAGTGTGACAAGTGTGTGTTACAGTACACGTGGCCATACTGTGACAAGTGTGTTTTACAGTACACGTGGCCATAGTGTGACAAGTGTGTGTTACAGTACACGTGGCCATAGTGTGACAAGTGTGTTTTACAGTACACGTGGCCATAGTGTGACAAGTGTGTGTTTCAGTACACGTGGCCATAGTGCGACAAGTGTGTGTTACAGAACACTTTGACATAGTGTGACAAGTGTGTGTTACAGTACACGTTGTCATAGTGTGACAAGTGTGTGTTGAAGTACACGTGATCATAGTGTGACAAGTGTGTGTTACAGTACACGTGGCCATACTGTGACAAGTGTGTTTTACAGTACACGTGGCCATAGTGTGACAAGTGTGTGTTACAGTACACGTGGCCATAGTGTGACAAGTGTGTTTTACAGTACACGTGGCCATAGTGTGACAAGTGTGTGTTTCAGTACACGTGGCCATAGTGTGACAAGTGTGTGTTTCAGTACACGTGGCCATACTGTGACAAGTGTGTTTTACAGTACACGTGGCCATAGTGTGACAAGTGTGTGTTACAGTACACGTGGCCATAGTGTGACAAGTGTGTTTTACAGTACACGTGGCCATAGTGTGACAAGTGTGTGTTTCAGTACACGTGGCCATAGTGTGACAAGTGTGTGTTACAGAACACTTTGACATAGTGTGACAAGTGTGTGTTACAGTACACGTTGTCATAGTGTGACAAGTGTGTGTTGAAGTACACGTGATCATAGTGTGACAAGTGTGTGTTACAGTACACGTGGCTAGAGTGTGACAAGTGTGTGTTTCAGTACACGTGGCCATAGTGTGACAAGTGTGTGTTACAGTACACGTTGTCATAGTGTGACAAGTGTGTGTTGAAGTACACGTGATCATAGTGTGACAAGTGTGTGTTACAGTACACGTGGCTAGAGTGTGACAAGTGTGTGTTTCAGTACACGTGGCCATAGTGTGACAAGTGTGTGTTACAGAACACTTGGACATAGTGTGACAATTGTGTGTTACAGTACACGTGGCCATAGTGTGACAAGTGTGTGTTACAGTAGACGTTGCCGGTACTTACGGCGACGTTGGTGCAGGAGCCAGTGTCGAAGGCGAAGCAGGGGTTGTAGTTGTACAGGAAGGAGTCGGAAGACGATGGAACCCCTTCAAATCTGAAATACAGTAAATTCGTTTATAACGAACACGCTTATAATGAACTGACTGATGTAACGAACTGTTGTTTGCTCCCGTCTATGTGCTGTATATATGATGTATATATGATTATAACGAAGTACGGTTATAACGAACTAAAATTAGTGGCCCCTTTGAGTTCGTTATAACCGTAGTTTACTGAACCCCAAAACATGAAGTATATACATTCATTTTAATTCTGATTTCAAGGGCGGTCGGGTAGCTTAGTGGTTAAAGCGTTCGCTCGTCACGCCGAAAACCCGGGTTCGATTGCCGACATGGGTACAATGTGTGAAGCCCATTTCTGGTGTCCCCCGCCGTGATATTGCTGGAATATTGCTAAAAAAGTGGCGTAAACCATACTCACTCACTCACTCTGATTTCAAACAACATTTACTTCAGACGCATTGGGTTCATTTGAGACACATTATCTTCATATCTTGACATTTTCTGTGTCCTCAACGAGCTGTTAAAGTGCAAAACCAGTGACTCGTGTACAATAATATTCCGCCGGGATCCTAAAGAATATCAGACATCTCGCTGGACAGGACTGATATGTGTGATGAATGTGTGTTCAAACTGCACTTTTTTAATATCCAGTTACACATTAATAACCCAAAAAGACTGTACATATAGCTCGGGACAATAAGATTAAAAGGTGAGGTGAGGTGAAATTTGGTTTAACGTCCGCCCAAGTTTTAGCAGTGTGGGTTCAGCAACAACAAAACAAAACAAAACACAAAATATCGGTTTGAAGAACAAACGCTATTTACCAGTAACCCCGACTGATAGTATGCTTGTCAGGATCTCTTGAAAGGGATTCAACTTATCTATTAAATGCTGTTCGTACAACTTCAAGCTACAAAGACATGCAGAACTAATAACTACTACTGAGCTAACAGAACACACTGAAGACAAATTGTGATTCCTTCCTTCCTACCTAACTTCTTACTTAATTCCTTAGCAATTTGGGGGCACGGGTGGTCCAGTCCCTTGGTTGCATGCGTTCCTTGGGCACGCCAGAAACCTATGATTGTGGGTTCGAATCCCGGTTCGCCCCGATTATGTTTCTAGGTTTGTCAGCACCATACCCGTGCTCGTGGGTTTCACCGAACTGGTAAACGGCTGACACCTTCATCACTTGGGGCTTTCCTCCCACATCAAGCTGTCACGCCGTGATATAACTGGAATACTGTTAAAAGCGGCGTTAAGCCCAACTCACTCACTCCTTAGTAATTTATCGGCACTACCCGACATATATTCTGAAAGTTCTACATAGTATTTGCAAGTCATCCGGTTCAATATATCTGTGTTGATAAACACCAAGTTATCACTCATGCACATATACCCACTAGATAAACGATGTTATAAGAGTAATATCCGACCTAGCGCTTCCGACTTCGTTCCCGATGCTGGTGAAGTCCACGGTGCCACTGCCGTCGTCGAAGTCGCATGAGCAGGGGCCGTTGCCGACACATTGTTTACAGAGACAGGGGGAAATGAGCAGACAGATGGAGACGATGAGATTCACTGTAGACGACATCTTGGCGTGGTATCTCGCGTGACTACATCTTCATCGCCTTGTGACGCGAGATCAAAGGTTTCAGTGAGGTGTGTGATAAAGATAAACATATGCCTGGCAGGTGTTATCAGTTGTGCTGTAGGATACTCACTTATCACGGTGAGTGAGTGAGTGGATGGGTGGTTGGGTGTGTGGATGAGTGGTGAGTGAGAGAGTGAGTGGATGGATGAGTGAGTGAGTGAGTGAGTGAGTGAGTGAGTGAGTGAGTGAGTTGGATTTAACGCCGCTTTTAACAGTATTAAAGTGAGTGAGTGAGTGAGTGAGTTGGATTTAACGCCGCTTTTAACAGTATTAAAGTGAGTGAGTGAGTGAGTGAGTGAGTGAGTGAGTGAGTGAGTGAGTGAGCCGGCAAGCGGGCGAGCGGACGGGCAGGCCAGTGAGTGATTTACACCGCTTGAGAAATATTCACGGTTCGGACACCCGAAATGGCTTTCACCCAATTTACCAATGTAGGGAATCAAACCCGGTCCTTCGGCGTGTCGGGCGAACAATTTAACCACAATGCTAACCCACCGCCCCTGGTGAGTGAGTTTAGGTTCACGCCGCTTTTTCAGTTAAGTCAACTTAAATATGGTAGGCAAGCTGAAGTGATGCAGGTTTCGGACGTTTACCACTTTCGTGACACCGCGAGCACTGTTTTGGTTCTGAAAAAGCCCAGAGACATCATCCGGGCTTGTGTTCGAATGCTGACTCACCCCGAATCTCACCCTTGGTCTGTTAGGCACTATGCACTAAAAGAAGTATAGCCTTGCTAAGAAATGCAGTACAAAATATCTTTCGGATTAGCCCGAGGCCAATTACGGTCAGTTACAGAGGCATATATGGAGACCAAACACTCAACTAATTAGCGATGGGCTTGACATCCCATGTTGACGTGAATAGGCCCATTATCTATCGGAAATCGACAGTTATACCTCGGAAGACGAGAATATTCCAAGGGTGAGTGAGTGAGTGAGTGAGTTTGGTTTAACGCCGCTTTTTCACATTATTCAAGTTATATCACGGCGTGTCAGCTTAATGTGAGAGGAAAGCCCGAAGTGATGCAGGTCTCAGACGTTTACCACTTCGGTGAAACCCACGAGCACGGGTATGGTGCTGACAAACCTAGAAACATAATCGGGGCGAACCGGGATTCGAACCCACAATCATAGGATTCTGGCGTACCCAAGGGACGCAACTCTGCACAGCGAATCGCGGCGCCTTAGACGACTGGGCCACCCGTGCCCCCGAATATTCCAAGAAAGTACACTCAAACTCAAAATTTGTTGTCCCACAATTGTACGGGCCCAGCTGCACAACGCGACATTAGCGCAACCAGACCCGGGGTTATTATCTCCCTTGCACTGTTTCTGCCCGTATTTACCAACCGTTTGCTCGTCCTGCCTGAAAACCTCAAGTAATGAAAATATCAAACTCCAATTTCCATGTGTATGAGTGAGTGAGAGAGTTGGGTTCAACGCCACTTTTAACAGTATTCCATGTTTATCACGGCGTGTCAGTTTAATGTGGGAAGAAGGTGATGCAGGCCTTTGCGAACCGGGCTTCGAACCCACGAGTATAGGTTCCTGCCGTGCCCAAGGGGCGCAACTCTGCAAAGCGAATTGTGGCGCCTCAAACGACTGATTGCTTACAAATCTAGTTGGCTAAAAGGTTCTTAAGGCGGTGGGGTAGCCTAGTGGTTAAAGCGTTCGCTCGTCACGCCGAAGACCCGGGTTCGATTCCCGACATGGGTACAATGTGTGAAGCCCATTTCTGGTGTCCCCCGCCGTGATATTGCTGGAATATTGCTAAAAGCGGCGTAAAACCATACTCACTCACTCACTAAAAGGTTCTTATCATTCTTATTCCATAAAGGCAGTGTGTTTTTCTCGTGTATTTTCAGGTGAACAATTGACTTGTCAACACATACTAGTACTTGTGATATAGGTACAAAATGAAGAGGTTTTATATGTTATGATGTCAGTGACGAAATGCCCGAATAAAAATTATCACAAGAAGGACATGCAAACCATTAGTCGGGAAACACGTACGATTCGGAAAAACGCACCCTGTGCATTAACAAAAGGGCCATGGAGCGTACGTACTACACGTGCAGCAGCACTGTGAACGGTATTAAAGTGAATGGTTTTTGATTGCTTTGAGTGACTTGCACAAGATGTTTGTCGTCAACACTTGTCTTTGTTCTAATACTTGGTATTAACATTTATATTTCATGATGCACTACTTGTGTAAGAGTAAAAAAACGACGACAGGTTTCAAATACGTTTTATCAACGGGTTTTGCATATTTTCGACATGACGCTGCAACCCTGAGATTTTATTCAGTGTTTATTCAGTTACAGTAACGGTTATCGCAGTAGTCATGGAGATGTTCCACCCGCCGTACTGTTGATGTGAACTCCAGGCGGCCTCGGTTGAAGTTCCAGAGAATCGACTCCGAACTTCGCGGGGGAAGTACAGAAAACACCAGCAGCTGCAGCAACCAAAGAAACAAAAATAACATCACAAAACACAATATAATCAGTGAGAAAAACGTACAACTCTATGGATAACAACTTCTGGTATATTGCATTTTGTAAAGTACGAATACTGTTTCGAAACATGTTTCGTACCGTTCATCCGGCTTCATCCAATTATCTGCTTGTTATCTATTACCGTTGTTAATGCTAATCTTCTGCTTATCACAAGATGTCATACATATATACCTTTCATCACTGGGTGACCGCCTCCGTGGTCTAGTGGTAGAGCGTCCGCCCTGAGAGCGGAAGGTCCGGGGTTCGACCCCCGGCCGCGTCATACCAAAAGACGTTAAAAGATGGTACTTGTTGTTACCCTGTCTGGCGCTCGGCATTAAGGGGCTAAAACAAGGACTGGTCGGCTCGGAGTCAGTATACTGTGTCTGAGTGGGGTCTTCATGTTAAACTGCGCCGTGGTATCTCAGTGAGCTAGCACTATAAATCGGCATCAGTCCGGACTAGTACAAGCAGCCACACAAACACACACACGTGCATGCATGTCGCTATATAAGTGCAATAATCTTGGACGCGACGTTAAACCCCATTTCACCTCACCTCATCACTTGGTTGTCACTCTAGCTTGATATAACGGTGTAAGAGTCTACATCGAAACGTCGCTGTATGCAATAAACCAGAAGTTGTTTTTCTTAAGTTGTACGTTTTTCTTTCTTATTTTGCCAACTTCTAGATGGCCAATTAAACAGTTACAACAAAATAAAATTAGCCCTTTGTGATTTAGAAGCACATGCACAATATAGCAAAACGTTTCTTCGAAGATTGTGGCTGTCTTTTATACATTGGACCGACCGTGGATCTTGTAGGCTTTCTACACGTGTTTATTGGTTTAAATGTTTAATTCTGCCAAGAGTGGTTGTGTTCTTGACACACGTAATCGTTGTTATTTGTCTGGTTATTTTCGTTCCCGAAAGGGCATTAAAGCAGTTAAAGGGTTTAGACAACAGACATGTAACAAAACCTCAGCCGAATTCAGCAATATTTAGCCTGTAAATAATATATTCTGGACCTGAACATCCAGCAATCTCATTAAAATCCGATCTTAGTTTTCGCTGACGCTAAACAAAGATCTGAGGACATCCCATTACGGGTCACGTCAGAACGACCTTGCGCGAATTTTGACCGACCAATGGAAGGATGGACAAGAAGTCGACATTAGCCAATCAGAAGGCAGCTTTCTCGTGCTTTACGGCACTAATTGTAAATTGGCGACAACGTTTCGAAACATATTTTGACAAATTCTCGATTACAACTTTGAAACCTGAACAAAAGAACATCCTGGAATGGCAAATATATGGTCTAGATTGTATGGATTCAGTCGTCAAACCCGTAACTATCGTTCAGAATACCCCGTGTTAAAGTTTTCGAGATTGCATGATCAGAAAGCACATTCCGACTGTCACTTTCATGATCTGGTAAACGACGCTCTGATTGGTCGGATGAAAGGTCGTTCTGACGTGACCCCTAATGGGAGGTCCTCAGATCTTTGTTTAGCGGTAGGGAGAACTAAGATCTGATTTGAATGAGATTGGAACATCTAGTGGCATACATTATCAGCAACGATCCACGCCGTCAGGGTAGGATGACACCCAATCAACCAGGTCACCGAGCAGGACCACCTAATCTGTTGCTGGGGTCTGATTCTGACCCGAAATCCCCACGAGAGTTTCGTTTTCAGAAGATGATAAACAAGTTATTGAGATTAATGCACATAAGCTGAAGACCCCCTGCTGTTATCACCTGTTATGAACATTAACCACTGAATCAAAACAAATTTGTATTTTCAGCAAGACACCCTCAAAATTTTCGGAGCAATATCAGCAATACTTTCACTTTGTTTGGTGACCACATACACATACACAAATGATAACAGTACTAAAACGAATCTTCGGGGATATTAAAATATTGTTCCACCATGAGTGAGTGAGTGAGTGAGTGAGTGAGTGAGTGAGTGAGTGAGTGAGTGAGTGAGTGAGTGAGTGAGTGAGTGAGTGAGTGAGTGAGTGAGTGAGTGAGTGAGTGAGTGAGTGAGTGAGTGAGTGAGTGAGTGAGTGAGTGAGTGAGTGAGTGAGTGAGTGAGTGAGTGAGTGAGTGAGTGAGTGAGTGAGTGAGTGAGTGAGTGAGTGAGTGAGTGAGTGAGTGAGTGAGTGAGTGAGTGAGTGAGTGAGTGAGTGAGTGAGTGAGTGAGTGAGTGAGTGAGTGAGTGAGTGAGTGAGTGAGTGAGTGAGTGAGTGAGTGAGTGAGTGAGTGAGTGAGTGAGTGAGTGAGTGAGTGAGTGAGTGAGTGAGTGAGTGAGTGAGTGAGTGAGTGAGTGAGTGAGTGAGTGAGTGAGTGAGTGAGTGAGTGAGTGAGTGAGTGAGTGAGTGAGTGAGTGAGTGAGTGAGTGAGTGAGTGAGTGAGTGAGTGAGTGAGTGAGTGAGTGAGTGAGTGAGTGAGTGAGTGAGTGAGTGAGTGAGTGAGTGAGTGAGTGAGTGAGTGAGTGAGTGAGTATGGTTTTACACAGCTTTTAGCAATATCCCAGAAAGGGGCTTCACACATTGTACCCATGACGGGAATCGAACCCGGGTCTTCGGCGTGACGAGCGAACGCTTTAACCACCAGGCTACCCGACCGGCCCTCGCGACTACCAGGTAGGTGAAATTCAGTGACTGTAAATGTGTTTCGTGTGCTTGAATCATACCCGAAAAGGCAATTCCGCGAGAACTTGGTAACTGAGCTCCTGTAAGCCTGCAATGCGACGTCTCAAGGCATGTTCCGCACTGGCACGTATCTCCTCTTTGTAGGAAGACCCGGTGAGTCCTGCAGCAAAGTATTGAAAGTATTATATTTCGTAAGATTCAACACATACTTGCATCAAACCATACGCCTTCGTTTCGTTATTTCTTCATCACATTTGTGACGATGGCGAGTTGATGTATGAAGTGTATTATATTTTAACCAAATTGATGAAATATATTTTCTATGTCAGGCCTACCAAATTTACCCCTGCAGAGGGCTACCAATCGCAAACCGTGGAATATGTACACATTTTAGAAGTAGCCACACAAATTACCAAGTCAAGTCAAAGTTTATTTTAGGCTACAGGCCAGATGCAAATGGTAATACATTATACATCAAAGCAATCTCATTAAAATCAGATCTTAGTTCTCGGCTTAATCGAGCTTTACGGCACGTGTTTCAAACTGCGACTACGCTTCGAAACATATATTGATAAAATAATAACTGAACAAAATAACATTCCGGAATGGATAATACATGGTCTAGATTGTATGAATACAGACATAAAGCCCATAACTGTCGTTCGGAATACCCTGTGTGTTTTCTTTCGAGGTTGCTCGATCAAAATTCCCATTGCAACTGTCACTTTCATGATCTGATGAGCGATGCTCTGATTGGTCCGATGAAAGGGCGTTCTGACATGACCCGCAATAGGATTTCCTCAGATCTTTGTTTAGCAGTAGCGAGAACTAAGAAATGATTTTAATGAGATTGTACATCACAGCGCACAATGCGCGGCTCAACATTTCAGATGAAACAAGACTGAAGACTTGCTCCCCTGCCAATCCCAACCCGCCAATCCCACTAGTTGCCAAAGTGTATACATAAATACAAATATTTTCATATCTTGATCATAATGCATTCTTTCTTTCATTGATAATTATGGTACACATACTTTGCCAATCGAAAAATGACATTTCTGAGACAGTCTTGCATTACCTGGACAAATTTGAAAACACTGGGGTGTACATGTGAATAATTTGGCAAATACAGCCGTCTTAACTCCATATATTTTGGACACATTATTTAAACATGGTATTCGTCCTCTATATCATGAACATAAACGCTGTTCTCTCTGTAATCTGGGTTCAACCCATCTCCCCTTTTCAATCATGAATATACGTGAACTGAGCATAAAACGTGTTTGAGCTATTCGGTATTTTACAATTAATATTCATTTCAAAACACAAGGAATCCTTCATTGACAGGTACAGTCTGGTTTCGCTAAGACTCGATACCAAGACACAACCTCATATAGTTTACATCGTAATGATTAAAAGCTGCTACACTTTCAATGAAATCAAACACAGTAAATCACGCAGACTACCTGATTGAATCAAACAGGATCAAAATATACAGGCCATTGACATCAATAGATCACCTGTCATGGTAAAACTCATATCCCAAAAGTAGATGTAATCCCCGATCAAGTTGGCCGGTGCTGGGGCCTTCTCAATGAGGTCCTTCTGGATCTTCAGATCCACCACAAGGTCCTCTGCTCTATACACAGGCTTCACTGTCATGCTGATATTGGCTGCAAACAAGACACCTTCCAGCTGTCGCCATGCACACAGAGTATCAGACCTGAGAACTGAAGAACCTTTCTGAATGATCCGTTAATGTAACAAAGATATGTGCGTCATAAGCGTTCAGGCTGCTTCATTACCATCGCATACTGTGAACCTGATAGTTGGTCTTTAAAGCCGCACCCAGCAATAGCCCAGTGACTGTCTTACAACAAAGTCATAGAGTCTGACTGCTCGATTCTTGTAGCCGCCTCCTACGACCAGCATAAGCTGCTGGAAAACATAATAACCCTGATCACGCACGCACGCACGCACGCACTCAGGCACGCACGCCGTTATTGCGAACTAAAAATACTGAGTTATTTAAACAGACCAAAACTGTTCTGTTTGTACCCAGTAGGATGCCGGTTTATTGAATGAAATATCCATATAAGATTGCAAATTATCGAAGGTAGGAAGAAGCAAGCAACGATGTTGCAGCACTAATAACATTTAATAATACAACCTTCGACCTTCAGGTGAAACAGGTAAATGAATAAGTTCACTTACTGGCTAAAACTCTGGGTTCGCCAACCACCTGAAAATACAGAACACAGGTGTTTGTTATTTGTCTAGAGGTCACCTCTCAGTAATACACAACAAAATACACGTATACTCGTCAAATAAATCAATAAAAGCTAATAAACCATTTCCATAATCATAATATATTTACATCCATCGGACGATTCCGATTTAATATATGAGTAACAAAACGCGGTGACCTTAGATATAGTTACATATTAATCTTCAGAGGTTCCAGTGTTCCATGGTAATGTATACTTACACGCAAAAGAAATGCAAGTGGTTTTAAGCAAATAGGTAACAAACACGGAACCATGAATTGATACGAGTTTTAGCATGTAGTGAAGCCTGATGGTGGTATCAAAATTTTTGGTTGTACTTTGCAAGCCCCGAGTAAAAACGCAACATAAAAAAACGAATCGGCAAAACGCACCATTTCAATGAATATGTGGGTATCATGCACCCATTTCTCGCGAAATCGAAAATGAACGCACTGTAGTGGGTATAAAACTGTGGTCGATTCTTGGACTTACCACTCCTTGATCAACAATGCCGCGTCTAACTCAAATTCAGAGAAACCAGGCTATCGGACGTTTGGAAGCTGGAGAGTCTGTCCAAGATGTTGCCCGTCATTTCAACGTTAACATAACCACAATTTACCGTCTCCTGCATCGATACAATGCTACACAGACCACAGATGACCTTCCCCGGAGCGGTCGTCCTAGGGTCACCACACCTCGACAAGATCGGCAGATTACCCGTCAACACCAGCGACATCTGTTCCTAACGGCAAGTGAAAGTGTTCGACAGACCATAGGAACACATAATCGACACATTAGCCGGGACACTGTGATCCGACGTCTCCGTTCCAACAACCTCAGATGTCGTCGACCAGCACGTCGTCCTGTTCTCCAATCACGGCATCGACAAGCACGACTTCAGTGGGCACAGGGTCATCACAATTGGCGTCATCGTGAGTGGAGGCGTGTCATCTTTTCTGATGAAAGTCGCTTTTGTGTCTCCCATGCTGACGGAAGAGTCGGAATTTGGCGGCGTCGAGGTGATCGTTTCGCTGACAGAAACGTTGTGGAAAGGGATCTATGGGGTGGACCTAGCGTCATGATATGGGCAGGGATTGGACTTAATGCGAGACTTTGACACATTTTCCAACAGGAAAACGCTCGTCCCCATGTTGTCAGAGCTACCATGGCCTTTCTGCAACAACACAACATCCGTGTTCTACCGTGGCCAACCCTCAGCCCTGATCTGAACCCCATCGAACACTAGTGCGATGAGGTTCAAAGGCATCTGCACAATGTGCGCCAGTCCCTACAACTGCAGATGAACATCGCAACACCTGCTCTGGATGTGTGCAGGAGGATACCTAGGGCCTTCACAAATCGTCTGATCCACTCAATGTACAGGAGATGTATGGCAGTGATCTATGCTAATGGTGGTCACACCAGGTATTGACTGACATTCTGGGTATTGACCCGAAACTGTGTAAGCCCTTGACATTTGAAAAAAACAATTATGTCATCTGCCTTTTAATCCATTACACGGTCTTCAGGCAATCGTGCCCTATTAGTATTTCTTGTCTTTACTGTTGAAAATAAATAACATGTATACTGCATACTCGACTTGCGTTTCTTTTGCGTGTGAGTATATTTTGTTGTTTGGCGGTGATAACTGTGTTACATTGTTGGGATTCGGTTTACGCTCAATGCATTGTGTTTGGACAGTGATCAGTCGCTAGCTATAGGAAGTTACTTTATTCAGTAAAAGGTGACTATGCTTGTCGTAAGAGGCGACTAATGGGATCGGGTGGTCAGACTCGCTGACTTGGTTGATGCATGTCATCGTATCCCAATTGCGTGAATCGATGCACTTGATGCCAATCATGGGATTGCCTGGTCCAGATTCGACTTGGTGCTGCATCACCAATGTATTTTTGTATTTGATACTGACCATTGCCATCATATTAATATTTATTTCCATTGAATATTGTACTGCCACTCTATTGCTGTACTGTCATCGTAATTGCTGTGCACTTTTGTAAACTTGGTGAATCTTGTAATACATGGGTTAATTGTAAACCACTTTTAAGATGTTTGTTGGTTTCACACTATGTTCTTTTACGCACAGAAATCTGGGGTTACACATTGTTTCAATTTGGAAATCGACACGTAACACAGAACAATTTGACAAAAATGAAAGCAAGTGTTATCTAAAGAAAACAATATGTCAATGGCTGGACTTCTTAAATGATAGGGGGCACGGGTGGCCCAGTCGTCTAAGGCGCCGCGATTCGCTGTGCAGAGATGCGTCCCCTGGACAAGCCAGAAACCTATGATTGTGGGTTCGAATCCCGGTTCGCCCCGATTATGTTTCTAGGTTTGTCAGCACCATACCCGTGCTCGTGGGTTTCACCGAAGTGATAAACGTTTGAGACCTGCATCCCTTCGGGCTTTCCTCCCACATTAAGCTGCCACGCCGCGATATAACTGGAATACTGTTAAAAGCGGCGTTAAACCCAACTCACACACTCACTCACTGCTAAATGATATTAACATAACCGTACAATTTGGGGATAAGACATCTGTTTCTTTCTGTATTTGAATCAGAATTTCTTCTCAAATTAGCAATTTTAAAACAAAACTTGGGCAAGAAGTTGAACTTCAGCTTCGGGTATATCGATGATGTTAAATCGTGAGATGCTGGTCAAATAGCCAATGCGCTTTCACTGGGGCTCCTTTTCAATTCAAATGGAGTTGATTGTCTCCATCAAAATTATATATTTTCAGAGACCATAAGCATTGGTCCAGTGTCTACATTTCACAAATGTTAAGGTACTATTAAGCATATTTCTACTAAGATTCAAAGTGCGTGATACGACTATTGCTCAAAAGTTGTTTCATCAAGGTTACAGCATTCTAGGAAAGCTTTCAAAACCTTTTATGGTAGATATATGAAGGACATGTCCAAATTTGCATCATACGATCTTGTGTTTGTTCGGGTGAACAATTGACTTGCCTTTCCCTGTGTTTGTGACGGGTGCCACCAGTGGGGCAGGATACGCTCACCTTTTCGCGAACACCTGGTGTCACCACTATTGATAGTGATTCATTAACACATACAATCGACCCTGTTTTATGCAGAGGTTTCTCTTGGATATGGAAAGGGTTTTGTCGCTTTATTTTTAGGAACTTGTGACGGCTTTGTGGTGCTATCCCTCTGAGATACCATGCTGCCGTTTTAACACGAATACCCCGAGCAGGCACAGTATACTGACTTCGAGCCGAACGACAAGTACCATCTTTAACGTCTTTTGGTATGCATTGACCAGTGGAATTCATCTCGAATCATCACTATGACATTGTGATAGTTATTCATTAAAACTTGTGCGTGATATAGTCGGAAGCGGTGAATGACTGTGTTTAGTGGAGTGCTCATGATGATTAAAATGTCTACCATATAGAAAGACCGCGCATTTCGTCTATTTTGACATCACAGCCATATGACATTGCTGTGCATAACAACAGAATCCAATGGATTTCTCTGGATGGGAGGGGGGGGGGGGGGGGGGGGGGGGGGGGGGGGGGGGCACGGGGGGCCCAGTCGTCTAAGGCGCCGCGATTCGCTGTGCAGAGTTGCGTCCCTTAGGCACGCCAGAAACCTATGATTGTGGGTTCGAATCCCGGTTCGCCCCGATTGTGTTTCTAGGTTTGTCAGCACCATACCCGTGCTCGTGGGTTTCACCGAAGAGATAAACGTTTGAGACCTGCATCCCTTCGGGCTTTCCTCCCACATTAAGCTGACACGCCGAAATGTAACTGGTATACTGTTAAAAGCGGCGTTAAACCCAACTCACTCACTCACTCACTCTGGATGGTCGCCTTATTGACATAACGCAGGAGACAAAATTTTAAACCAAACGGAGCTTACTTTGAAGGCTTGTTCCACTGTGAGACTCTTTACACTATACAGGGTATCCTGTATAAATGTCATAGCGGTCCCCAGGTCTCTTCCAGCGTCGGAAACCACGATGTCCACGTAGAAAGGTTCTTCTTTCTTCTCCGTGTTGTCACACAAACCACAAAGGAACACGGAGGCCCCAAGCAGAAGTAGCGCACACACCTTCATAGCTGCGTCTGGTTATGTGTGTGTGTCCGTCAATGTGGAATGATTGCATTCATACAATACAATATGTATACCCTTATACAGATGTTCACCAAGAACAATTTCAAACATAATTGCACGTCTTCTTGGGTTGCCGTGACACCTGTTGCAGATGTACATATGATCCTTGTAGCATGAAAAATGTGTATATGGAGACTGACACGTATTCCTGGTTAATAAATAAATTTAGTCTCAGGATTGCAATTGATGCAAAATCAATGAACAAGCACACAGTCGTCATAACATTAAGCTTGTTATTCTTATTTTGAGTGTTCTGACAAATAACATTGTAACCATGTGCAAAGCAAGGAAATATTCAATGTTCCAGAATCTTAAAAAAAGCCTTTCTTCTTCCAACCTATTGTCTGCAAAACTTTCACGTTGACCTCTTGAAACGCAGGTCTTGAACAATAGTTAGCCATGTCGCTGTCTGAGGGGCTGTCTTCAGCAGAGTGTAAGCAATAGGCCGTGTAACAGTGAGTACTTCATGTGACAGATGTAAAAGAATGTGCGTTGGTTTAATCGCCGTGTTTAACAGTATTCCAGTCATGTCAAGGCGTGTCAGATTTATGTGAGAGGAAAGCTCGAAGTGATGCAGGTCTCAGACGTTTACCTCTTTGGTGAAGCCCACGAGCACGGGTATGGTGCTCACAAACCTAGAAACATAACCCATAATCATAGCTTTCTGGCTTGCCCAAGGGACGCAACTCTGCACAGTGAATTTCGGCGCCTTCGACAACTGGGTCACCCTTATCCACTGTATGTAAAAGGAACGTTAATGCTGTAATGTAGACGAGAACACCATGGGAGACGCATGATATACCAGTTGTATTTTACAAGTAGTGAGTGAGTATGGTTTTGAAGCCGCTTTCAGCAATATTCCAGCAATTTAATCTTTTATTTGAGTATATCATCTGATCAAGGTGAAATGTGTTTTTGGTCATGTGAAGTAAAATTGAAGTTTTTGGTAGTTTTGCTTCCAAAAGGAATCTCACTTTCTCTCAAATGTTATGAAATTATATTTGTGTTTTCGATCATTGCTTCAACACATACTCTGCTTCAACACATACACTGCTTCGACACAGTCACTGCTTCAACACATTCACTGCTTCAACACATACTCTGCTTCAACACATCCACTGCCTCAACACATTCACTGCTTCAACACATCCACTGCTTCAACATATTCACTGCTTCAACAAAAACTCTGCTTCAACACATACACTGCCTCAACACATCTGCTGCTTCAACACGTTCACTGCCTCAACACATTCACTGCTTCAACACATTTACTGCTTCAACACATACACTGCTTCAACACATTTACTGCTTCAACACATACACTGCCTCAAAACATTCTGTGTTTCAACACATCTGCTGCTTCAACACGTTCACTGCCTCAACACATTCACTGCTTCAACACATTTACTGCTTCAACACATACACTGCTTCAACACATTTACTGCTTCAACACATTCATTGCTTCAACACATTTACTGCTTCAACACATACACTGCTTCAACACATACACTGCCTCAACACATTCTGTGTTTCAACACATCTGCTGCTTCAACACGTTCACTGTCTCAACACATTCACTGCTTCAACATATTCACTGCTTCAACACATTTACTGCTTCAACACATCCTCTGCTTCAACACATACACTGCCTCAACTAATTCTGTGTTTCAACACATACTCTGCTTCAACACATACACTGCCTCAACACATTCACTGCTTCAACACATCCACTGCTTCAACAAATTTACTGCTTCAAAGCATTCACTCCTTCAACACATCCACTGCCTCAACACATTCACTGCTTCAACACATTCACTGCTTCAAAGTATTCACTCCTTCAACACATCCACTGCCTCAACACATTCACTGCTTCAACACATTTACTGCTTCAAAGTATTCATTCCTTCAACACATCCACTGCCTCAACACATTCACTGCTTCAAAGCATTCACCCCTTCTACACATCCACTGCCTCAACACATCCACTGCTTCAACACTTTCACTGCTTCAACACATCCAATCCTTCAACACTTTCACTGCCTCAACAAATTCACTGCTTCAAGACATCCACTCCTTCAACACATTCACTGCTTCAACACATTCACTGCTTTAACACATTTACTGCTTCAACACATTTACTGCTTCAACACATTCACTGCTTCAACGCATCCTCTGCTTCAACACATCCTCTGCTTCAACACATTCACTGCCTCATCCACTGCCTCAACACATTCACTGCTTCAACACATTCACTGCTTCAACACAATCACTTCTTCAAACACATTCACTGCTTCAGCACATCCTCTCCTTCAACACATCAACTTCTTTAACTCATTCACTGCTTCAACACTGCCTCAACACATCCTCTGCTTCAACACATTCACTTCCTTAACACATTCACTGCCTCAACACATTCACAGCCTCATCCACTGCCTCAACACATTCACTGCTTCAACACATTCACTGCTTCAACACATTCACTGCTTCAACACATCCAATGCCTCAACGCATCCACTGCCTCAACACATTCACTGCTTCAACACATTCACTGCCTCAACACATTTTACTGCTTCAACACATCCAATGCCTCAACACATCCACTGCCTCAACACATTCACTGCTTCAACACATTCACTGCTTCAACACATTCACTGCTTCAAACACATTCACTGCTTCAGCACATCCTCTCCTTCAACACATCAACTTCTTTAACTCATTCACTGCTTCAACACTGCCTCAACACATCCACTGCTTCAACACATTCACTGCCTCAACACATTCGCTGCTTCAACACATTCACTGCTTCAACACATCCAATGCCTCAACACATCCACTGCCTCAACACATTCACTGCTTCAACACATTCACTGCCTCAACACATTCACTGCTTCAACACATCCACTGCCTCAACACATTCACTGCTTCAACACATTCACTGCCTCAACACATTCACTGCTTCAACACATCCAATGCCTCAACGCATCCACTGCCTCAACACATTCACTGCTTCAACACATTCACTGCCTCAACACATTCACTGCTTCAACACATCCAATGCCTTAACACATCCACTGCCTCAACACATTCACTGCTTCAACACATCCACTGCCTCAACACATTCACTGCTTCAACACATCCACTGCTTCAACACATCCACTGCTTCAACTTTTACACCAGCCATACATACTGTCTTTTACAAAACATTTTCTTTCAGAACAATCAGCATGCTCAGCGAAAAACATGTCATTCAGCATTTTCTGGAACAATGTGTGTGTTTTCAAACACGTCTTAGACGCGGGACTGGTCTGTGTTGAAGCACCCCGATGGTGTTGTCAGTTGTCATAATCAAGACGGTTGTGGAACTGGAAACAACATCCAGTGGCACAAATCCAGTCAACGTTCACCGATTGGGAAGTTAGTTGGTCTCAGGGCGTTCAGTTACTGTGCCCTCGTTATATGGCGGTGTCGTTATTATTAGACGTGTCTTATAAATGAATAATATACAATTTTGATACGAAACTATTCATTAAGCACTGACAGAGGAAACCATGTCCTGGTGTCGTTAATGAGAAACAGTGATGTGGAGTAATGATTTTTGTGACAACGTAGATGGTTTTGCACAAGGCGAAATTCCAATATATACAAAATATACAATTGTGTATATATGATATATCCAAAAATATACAATTTTGTATATTTGGTATTTCCAAAAATATACAATTTTGTATATATGGATTGTTTTTACCTCTGCTTCATTCAGTTTCTTTACATTGCAGACATTAATGCTCACAATATGTGGTTGCTATTGAAAATATTACTAAGAATACCGGACAGTATTATTGTATGTGACAAGTGTTTACTATTGGCATTATGACAACTCTATTTGGAGTGTTATGAATTTTGTATTTATTTATATTGACAGCATTTTACGCAATAAAGAAATAGAACACTTGAGCAGACAGTTACATCAATAATATATAATAATATGTGCGCCATCTGTTTACAAATAAGAAGATCTATACATACAAGTCGTTCAGAGTAGTTTCAAACAATGACGGTAAAATTAATATATCATGAATATCGGCAAATATGAATATATACAATTTAATATATATGTTTCTGTTATGTCATGGTATGGTGATTCTAAATCTAAAATGTTGCTTGATATTGTTTTGACAAACAGTTGTATGCACTGCCCAATGTGATACTCCTACGTAAGTATATAAAAAAGGATGTTCGTTTAGTCAATTGACATATTAGTGGGATTAGTGTGACAGGATAACTAAGTTTGTCATCTGGTATAATGCACTTCCTCGATTAGCATAATTAGAACAGAGTTTGTAAATAGTTATATGCGGACTCCAGTTGGCTAAGGCAGCCAGCATCAGTGGAGAGTGTGAGCAGCTCGAGAAGAGGCGAGCAACTCAATGTGATTTATGAATTTGTGGAATTTTAATAAATAAACGAACGCCTGTCACAAAAATGTAGTTGAACATAGAACACACAGAATCGCAGATTTTTATATCGTACATTTGATGGTTAACGTGAACGAAGCCGTGCAGGGTGCCTTACATCGATTTTACTTCAGAACACACAGTGAGCTCAGGTAAGTTTATTAATGATGATCTTTTCATTCATTCGTGCAAAAGATATGGCAATCATGCGCTGACTCTGTATGTGTTCGCAATAGAACATTGGGGAGAAATAAAAAAAGGACTTACAAGTCTAGTACACAACAAAGCCATTAAGTGAATATCAAATAAATCGATTCACAATGTGACAACCTCTCATCCAAATTTGTTTAATGCAACAGGTTTAAAGCATTCAGAAATGTAAAATCATTATTATAAAATACAGCTTGTTTATATATATATGTGTCGCTACCTCTCTCATGTTAAATACATAAATGTATAAAAATGTTTTAATATAATTTAGTATTACTATTAGTTTTACATTATAAGTAACATTATGGACCTTAGCATGTCGAGCCAAAA